GGCTGTGTAGAGTTGAACAAATCTGACCTTTACCAACAACTGAAAGTGGAATTGTCCCCATCAAAGTAAACAACATTCGAAACCTAAAACTTAATTTCCTTGAGGGTCAGACATGTCCACCATGCTCCCATACCTCTTTCTACTCATTCCAGCATCATTCTTACTTCTTCACTGGGTCCAAAATCCTTGCAGTAACTTACAGACCATACAGAAACAGCACATTAGGGAAGACGAATGGCTATAATTTAATAGCAGAATAAAATCACTTAGTCAGGACAGCTGCTGAAATGTGCTCACTGGCACCTCAGCCTTGACCCTCATAGCTGTAGACTAGTGTTACAAAGCTTAGTTCTTCCATTTGTGGTTCTTCCCTCCAGTCTTCCAACAAACTTGGGCAAAAAGCTCTTAGCTCTCGTTCGGTGATGTAGCAGTCTCAAGTCTGATCTATCTCATTTTGTGTATCTGATTCTCCACTGCTCCTGCTGTGGCTGCTACTCGCATAGGCCCTGGTTGGTGCAAGAATCTCTTGTCCAAAAGGATGTGCTGTATTATCTTGCTGCTTCCTTGCTGGTGGTGGGAATCCCCAATTCTGCCACTGGATCTACTCAATTTAGTGATGAGACTAGCCAGTCCCCTTCTGGATAGGCTAACATGCCTTTTTCACATTTTCCCACCTATCCACATAGCAAAGGCAGTTGGGGGGGGTTAGGGAAGCCATTTTGAATAATAAACGAAACACCTTTCTTTGTTTTAAACCATGCTTACTCTATTTGGACAACTTCTTTATTACATCATTATATAACTGCCAAGTCACCGAGACTTATGCTCCAACTAAATTGACACACGCCATTAGCCATCTTTGTCATTGTTTACCTTTAATTGGAACTTATTCATAGCTGAGACAGTAAATCATACAGGAGGAGAATTCCCATCCTTCTCCCGTGGTGAATTTAAACCTTCTGCTTTTGAGTTAGCCACAGAAGTTCCTACCACTAGCCCACTAGAACTCTTCTTGTTCTTGCTTTTGTTGTTATGTACCATCAAGTCAGCTGTAACTCATATGACCCTGTGAACCATGGATCTGAACCTTGCCCTATCCAAAGCCAGTGTCATTGTCTCTGACACATCTGATCCCATTGCCACAGCCCTTGTTTCAATCCATCTCATCCAAGGTGGTCTTCTCTTGTACTGATCCTCTACCTTGTTGTTGTTGTTATGTGATATTGAATCGCTACGACTCATAGTGACCCTATCTATGTACAAGAGCCCTAAACCCTACTCTATCTGTGCTAACCTCACTGTCTTCAGCACATCTACTCTCATTACTTTAATCATTGACTCTATCCATTTCATTAAGGGTCTTCCTCTCCTGTGCTGTCCCTCCACTCTGCCAAACATGATATCCCTCTCCAAGGACTGGTCCCTCCTTGCAGCATGTCCAAAGTATGTCACATGAAGCTTCAGAATCCTTACCTCCAAGGAGCAGCCCAGTTTCACCCTCTCCAAGACGAACTTGTTTCTTCTCCTGGCAGTCCATGGTATATTCAATATTCTTCTCCAGCACCACAGCTTGAAGGAATCAATTCTCTTTCTGTCATCCCTAGTCACTGTCCAGCTCTCTGACGCATAGCACACAATTGCAAAGACTATGGCTAGATCAGGCATAGCTTAGTCTCCAGCCTGACGTCATTGCTCTTCAGTACTCTGGTTGGGTCCCTGATAGCTGACTTTCCCAATACAGTTAGTCTCTTGATTTCCTGGCTGCTGGTACCAAGAGAGTTGATTGTGGAATCAAGCAAACTAAAACTGTTCATAATCTCAATCTCTTCACCATTCATAATGATTCTGCCAGTTGGCCGAGTGTTGAGAATCTTTGTTTTCTTGATGTTGAACCTCAATCCATATTGAAGGCTGCAGTCCTTGATTGCATCAGGCGCTTCAGGTCCTCCTCAGTTTTTATCAGGCAGAGTTGTGTTATCTGCATAATGCAGGTTGGTGATGAATCTTCCTCCAGTCTTAATGCCACATCCTTCCTCGTACAGCCCAGCATCCCAGGTGATCTGTTTTGCATACGGATTGAAAAGGCATGGAGACAGGCCAAACTCACTCAGTATTTCTTAAGCTGAAGGAATTGAAAAACAAGTTCAAGCCACGAGTGGCAATACTTAAGGATGATTTGGACAGAATGTTAAATGATCCATGAAACATTAAAAGAAGATGGAAGGAATATACAGAGTCACTGTGCCAGAAGGAATTGGCTAACACAGAAGAATTTCATAAAACAATGTATGAGCAAGAGTCTGTGGTGATGAAGGAGGAAGCTCAAAGTGCTCTGAAAGAATTGGCAAAAAACAAGGCTTCAGGAGTTGATGGCATACCAGTTGACATATTTCAACAGATACTGTCCTAGATGTGCTCATTAAGTTGTGCCAAGAAACCTGGATGACAGCCACTTGGCCAACTGACTGGAAGAGATCCTCTACCTAAGCCCGTATTATTTTTGCCTTGCACCTTGGCATTCCAGCGTTATTAATGTCCTAAGTGTCAGATAACGGGATAGTAAGTGAAGAGAAAGTATAATTAAGTTTGAATCTATTTGTTTTCTTTTTTGTTCTTCTAATTGTTTCTCTTCTTTGACTTGTATAGGATCAATTTTACAATACTACATTTTCTTTAAAATGAGAACATTATAAAAATAACAGTATAAATTATGGCTTTTTCTTTACTTTAGCAGAGTAATTGGCAAATGCCAACTATATTTGATTTTAAGTTGGAACAAATATAAAATTAAAGTAACTTTGTACAATTAAGTGAGATAGTACACAGGAAATTCATTATGTCTGACACTGAAAATTTCTGAAAGTATAATATGACCAAGAGCCAATGGTAGCAAAAGAAGAAGTTCAAGCTGCAGTGTAGGCATTGTTAAAAAAATAAGTCCCTAGGAATCAGTGGGATGCCAGTTGACATGTTTCACCTAACAGATACAGCTCTGGATGTGCTTACCAGTTCATGTCAGGAAATTTGGAGGACAGCTACTTGGCTGAGCAACTGAGTGAGATCCATTTGTGAAAGGTGATCCCACAGAATGTGGAAATTATAAAACAATATCATTAATACAATATTATATATATATATATATATATACACATATATATATATATATACACACACACACACACATATATATATATATATATCATGTAATCAAAATATTTCTGAAGATAATCCAAAAGTGGCTAAAATAGTACATTGAGAAAGAAATCCTAGGAGCTTAAACTGGGTTTATAAGAGGCTGTGGCATGAGGGTTGTCATTGCAATTATCAGATGGATCCTGTCTGAAGGCAGAGAATACCGAAGAATATTGGTTTGTGTTTTAATTATTATTCAGAGATGTTTGACTGTATGAATCATAATAAATTGTTATGGTTTACAACTGAGAAGAATGAGAATCCTGGAATCTTAGTTATAATCACAAGAAACCTGGACCTGAACCAAGCTGTTGTCTGAACAGAGAGAGCAAGGGTTTAAATCTTGCTTTAAAATCAAGAAATGTGTGCATCAGGGTTGTAGCTTTTCTCCATACCTATTAAATCTGTATGCTGAGCTAATCATTCAAGAAGATAGGCTCTATGAAGAGGAAGGATCAGAGGAAGACTCATCAACTTGTATTAAGCAGATAGCACAACAACCTTGCTTGCTGAAAGTGAGGATGATTTGAACTACTTGATGCATAAGATCAAAGACTACACCCTTCAATATGAATTGCATTTCAACATCAAGAAGACAGAAATCCTCACCAGTGGACCAATAAGCATGATAGATGGAAAAAAGATTGATGTCAACAATTTCACCTTGTTTATATCCACACTCTTGTTACCAGCAGTCAGAGTATCAGGAGACTTACTGTATTGGGAAAGTGCTCTTAGGGACTTCTCCAAATTACTGAGGAGCAATAATGTCAGTTTGAGGAGTAAAATGTGACTGATTCAGGTTATGGTCTTTTCTGTAACTTCCTGTACATCTGAAAGCTGGGTGATGAATAAGGATGACAGAAAAAGAATTAATGCCTTTGAGTTGTGGTATTAGAGAAGAGTACTTAATATCCTACAGACTACTAAAAGAACAGATATGTCTTGGATAGGATATTTACTGACAGAATGTTCCTTGGAGGCAAAGATGACAAAATTTTGTTTTTCATACATTGGGCATATTGCTAGAATAGCTATTCTTTGGAGAGGAACCAAAATTCTTCTTTGGAAAGGGAGAGGATCAATGAAAGAGAGGAGGACCATCAGTGAAATGGACTGACACAGAAACTGCAGCAATGGGTTAAGCTGTGTCAGATATGATGAGGATGGCACAGGATATAGGACAGGGTTCCGACATGTTGTTCCTAGTGTCACTATGAGTCCTACTCGATTGGACAGCACCTTACAACAACTACATGTCCAGTATATGTACAAGCTCAGATATTAGCTGCCATGATACTAGTAGAATTATATTATCACTAAAAATTGTACATGGTTAATTAGCATTGTGATTTGTTATTGCTGTTGGTTATTGCAAGGGAGGGAATATGCTGATCAAGTATTACATATATGGGTAAAGTTATGGGTATTTGAAGTCTATTGATGGGATGACTTTGGTAAATGTGTATATAAGTAAATAATAAACAAGTGTATATATGTAAACAGTCATTTGTAGTCCAGTGGTTAAAGCACTCTTCTGCTAACTGGAAATTTGGTTGTTTGAACTCCATGAAAGAAATGATGCTGTCTTTCTGTAAAGATTTGCACCTTTGGAAACCCTAAGGGGCATATCTGCTCTTTCCTGTAGTGTAGTTTTGGTTTGGGATACCTCTGTGGCATTGGTTTGGTTTTAGATGTCTGTGTGCAATTTGGTGGCATATAACAACAGCAACAACAACAACAACATGCATATATGTATAGATTAAGTACGTATATATTTAGTAAGACTGAGTTGTTTATTTCCACAGCTCTGTATTCTGTTATATTGTTCTGTGTGTTCTTCTGGATTCCCTTTGTCTACTTCTATTACGAAGAAAAAGATGATGATGATACTAATAAATGCACTGTAAGTTTTTTTAATTTTAGAGATATTTATTTAGGAAAGAAAAGTTAAATATGTTTTTGAAGAATGATACGATGCTATTTTAAATTAAATTGATTAAATCAGTGTTACATAATGTTGTAAAACTTTTACTCAAAATCAGTAGTAAGTTATTTTTGCCACTATCTTACTTAGTGCAGTGTTCCAAATATAAATAGTAAATATAAAAATTATAAGTGAGATGCTAAAATTATTTTTTCTTATTGGGTCTGTTGAATATAAATGCATATTTTAGTTTTAAATACTGTTATACAATAGCAAGTATATTTTATATTGTTGAAGTCTTACTAAATGGTAAATTTTATTCCTCTTGACATCTAGCAAATTAAAACGGCTCTCAAGTACACTGTGGGATTTGCTCTCATTTGTGCACTTCTTCTTATAGTTGGGTAAGTCTTTAATTTATTTTCTGGAAAATTGAAATAGCATTGAAAAAATAAAAAATAGCAGAGGGAGTTTGGGTTCATTTAAAAAAATCCAAGAAATAAAAAATAAAATATATTTAAAAAAATAACCACCCCAAACATTATAAAACAAATAAACCTCCAAATATCTTAAAATACTACCACTAAGCAATGTTGTTGTTGTTATGTGCTGTCAAGTCGCTTGCAACTCCTAGCGACCCTTTGTACAACAGCTCTAAACTCTGCCATGTCCTGTGCCAATCTCATTGTCTCCGACACACTCGTCCTGATTGCTCCAGTCACCGAATCAATCCACCTCCCAGAGGGCCTTCCCCTGCTGCGCCTGCCCTCCACCCTCCCAAGCATGATGTGCCTCTCCAAGGACCTGTCTCTCCTTACAACATGACCAAAGTATGTCAGATGAAGCCTCAGAATCCTTTCCTCCAAAGAGCAGCCTGGTTTAACCCTCTCCAGGATGAATCTGTTTTTTTAGCAGTCCATGGTACCCTCAACATTCTTCTCCAACACCAAAGCTCAGAAGCATCAATTCTCCTTCTATCCTCCCTGGTCATTGTCCAGCTCTCTGATGCATAACAAGTGATTGCAAAGACCATGGCCTGTACCATAGGCATCTTAGTCTCCAGAGACACACCATTTCTCTTCAGTTCTTTAGAAAGGTCCCTAACAGCAGACTTTCCCATCTTAGTACGTCTTTTAATTTCCTGACTGCTGGTGCCAAGAGTGTTGATTGTGGAGCCAAGCAGACTAAAGCTGTGAACAATCTCAATCTCTTCACCGTCCATCCTGATGCTGCCAGTTGGCCCAGTGGTGAGAATCTCTGTCTTCTTGACATTGAGCCTCAATCCGTATTGGAGGCTACAGTCCTTGACCCTCTGCAGAAAGCGATTCAGGTCTTCCTCAGTTTCAGCAAACAGGGTTGTATCATCTGCATAGCACAGATTGTTGATAGATCTTCCACCAATCGTGATGCCGCATTTCTCTTCATAGAGCCCAGCCTCCCAGATGATCTGTTTTGCATACAGGTTGAAATGGTATGGAGACAGGACACATCCCTGGTGTACGCCCTTCCCAGTTTTGAACCATGCAGTGTTTCCTTGCTCTGTTCTGATGACTGCCTCTTGGTTCAGGTATAAGTTTCACATTAGCACGATAAAGTGTTCTGGGATTCCATTCTTCTCAGAGTCAGCCACAGTTTGTTATGGTCCAGAGTCAAATGCCTTTGCATAATCAATGAAGCATAGATAAGACATTCCTCTGGTACTCCCTGCTTCAGCCAAGATCCATCTAATATTAGTAACAATATCCCTAGTAACACAACCCCTTCTAAACCCAGCCTGGACTTCTAGCAGTTCCCTGCTGATGTGCTATTCCAGTCGTTTTTGGATAATCTTCAGCAGAATCTTGCTTGCATGTCAAATCGACTATATTGCTATATAGTTTCCACACTCTGTTGGGTCACCTTTCTTTGGAATGGGAACAAATAGAGATCTCTTCCAGTCAGTTGGCCAAGTGGTTGTTGTCCAGATTTCTTGGCACAACTTGGTGAGCACGTCCAGGGCAGCATCTGTTAGCTGAAATATGTCAGTTGGTATACCACCTATTCCTGGGGCCTTATTTTTTGCTATTTCCTTCAAAACAGCTTGAACTTCTTCCTTCATCACCATAGGCTCTTGCTCATGTGTTGTTTCATGAAATTCTTCTGTGTCTTCCAATTCCTTTCGATACAGTGACTCAGTATATTCTTTCCATCTTCTTTTGATACCTCCTGGATTGTTTAATATTCTGCCTAAAGCATCTTTGATTATAGCAACTCGAGGTTTGAATTTGTTCTTCAGTTCATTGTGCTTAAGAAATGCTGAGCTAGTTTGACCCTTTAGGTTTTCTGACTCCAGCTCCTTGCACATTTCATTGTAATATTTTAGTTCTTCATCCCACGCTGCCTTTTGAAATCTTCTGTTCATCTCTTTAGTATCTTGAATTCTTCCTTGTGCTTTGGCTTCTCTGTGCTCCAGTGCAATATTAACATTTTTTATATTCTGTATGTTATTTTGCATATGATAAAATGTGTACCCAGTGCCTTCTCATCTCAGTTATCTAATTTGTACACTTTTATGCTTTAGTTTTAAATAAATACATTCTATTTTACCTAATTGTTGGACGATTACTGTGTATATATGTGGGCTTCTCTTCAGGATGGTATGTGTAGATTTGCCAGTTTTGCCTGCCTTATTTTCCCTTTTTAGGATCCAGTTTATTTCAGTTTATTATCCTTTGATGAATATTTGGACTTATGTCAGTTTCTTAGTTATTATAAAAAATACTTTGATGAATATCCTTGCCTCAGGTATCTTTTTAGAATTCACCTGTCAGTCTTTAAATTTCTGAAGTGAACTTTGTCTATGATATTTTCCCTTTGTTCTTACTTACATTTTTGTAGTAATATAATTTTAAGTTTGTTCATAGATACATTTTAAAAATCTTTTTATTCAAATAAGTTTCATTCTTCTCCTTTTTAAAGTATATTAAATACTAATAAATGTTCAAGTTATTCATATCTGTCTGAAAAGTTTTAATAAATAAAACATTTTGTTCACTGAATGAGATTTGTGATAGAAAATTGTTCAATAACATTTTGTTTCAGGAGTTCTTAAAATATGTATTTTAAATAGTGAAGGCATATTTCTAATTCCTTTGTCTATCATGAGAGTCAGAAAAAATAGACATTAAAAGGATATTTTTGAGTTCTTATTACTCAATTTTAGCTGCTGTCTTTTAAATGAAAACCAAATCTGTGTTTATTAATATGGAGGGTTTTTAATATGTTAATAAGATGTATCCTGGCTGAAAGCAGAGAGTACCGAGAGTCAGAAAAAATAGACATTAAAAGGATATTTTTGAGTTCTTATTACTCAATTTTAGCTGCTGTCTTTTAAATGAAAACCAAATCTGTGTTTATTAATATGGAGGGTTTTTAATATGTTAATAAGATGTATCCTGGCTGAAAGCAGAGAGTACCAGAGGAATGTCTATTTGTGTTTCATTGACTATGCAAAGGCATTTGATTGTGTGAATCACAACAAACTGTGGCTGACTCTGAGAATGGGATCCCAGAACACTTGATCATGCTTATGTGAAACCTGTACTTGGACTAGGAGACAGTTGTCACAACAGAGCAAGGAAACACTGCATGGGTCATAATCAGGCAGAGTATACACCAGGAATGTGTCCTCTCTCCATACCTTTTCAATCTGTATGCAGAACAGATCATCCAGGAAGCTGGACTCTATGTGGAAAAATGAGGCATGAAGAGTGGAGGAAGATTCATCAAGAACCTGCATTAAACAGATGACACAACCCTGCTTTCTGAAACTGAGAAAGACCTGAAGCACTTGCTGCAGAAGTTCAAGGACTGCAGCCTTTAATATGGATAGAAGCTCAACATAAAAAAGAAAAAAAAAAAGATTCTCACAACTGGGCTGATTAGCAGCATTATGATAGATTGTGAAGAGTTTGAGATTGTTAACAGCTTTAGTGTCCTTGGTTCCACAATCAACACTCTTGGTACCGGCGGCCAATCAAGAGATGAATTGCATTGGAAAAGTCAACTGTCAGGGACCTCTACTGAAGAGTGACAACGTCAATCTGGAGACTAAGGTGTGTCTGATCCCAGCCATAGGCTTTGCAATTGCTTGCTATGCATCAGAAAGCTGGACAATGACTAGGGTTAATAGAGAGACAATTGATGCCTTTGAGCTATGGTGCTAGAAAAGAGTGTTGAATATACATACCCATGGTCTGCCAGGAGAACAAACTGGTTCATCCGAGAGAGGATGAAGCCAGACTGCTCCTTGGAGGCAAGGATTCTGAAGCTTAGTCTGACACACTTTGGGCATGTTGCCAGGAGAGACTGGTCCTTGGAGAGGGACATCATTCTTGGAATGGTAGAGGGATGGAGAAAGAGAGGGAGACCATCGATGAGATCTATTGATTCTGTGACTGAGGTTATGAGAATAGATGTGTCTGAAATAGTAAAGTTGACACAGGGTCGAGCAGATTTCAGGGCTGTTGAGTCACAACAGATCATTATGAGTCACAAGCGACTCAACACACATAACAACAACAACAACATCTAGAAAAAGATTAACAGAAGTTTTGTTGGAAGAACAGACAATATATATTTAGATGTGGAAGTTAAATAGCCTCTGTACCAACTCTTTGTACTTCTAAAGTAATCAGCCGTTTTTGTTAGGTGCCATCAAGTCAAGTAGGACTCATAGGGACCTGATGAAAAACAGATCTGACCCTGTCCTATCGTGTCCTCATCATTTCTGTCAGACTGGAGCGCAGTGCAGCAGTCACTTTGTCAATCCACCTAGTTGAGGATCTTCCTCTCTTTTGTCAAGACTCCACTTTTCCAAGCATGATGTCCTTCCCTAGAATTAGCCTCTTCGAACATGTCTAAAGTATGAGATGAAGCTTTTTCCTCTTTGCCTCTTTGGAGCACTCTGATTCTACCTTCTTCATGACATAACTGTTTCTTTTGTCAGCCCATGGAATGTTCAGTGCTCTTCTCTGAAACAACATCTTGAAGGCATCAATTTTTCTTCTGTCAATCTTATTCATTGTCCAGTTTTCAGATGCATAGCAAGTGACTGAAAAGATCGTCCCCTGAATCAGGCACATATTAGTGTTCAAACTGACCTTAATGTTCCTCAGTAATTTAGAGAAATCCATGACTTCAAAGTAATCTTGCTATTGTATGCTGTTGAGTAGGAACCAACCCACTGCTGACCCTCCAGTGGGTTTTCAGAGGCAGTAAATCATGTGAGAGGGGATTACCCATCTTGGGCATTGCAACACAACTTCTTATCACTATGTCACCAGAGCATAGTTGACCCTCCAGCAGATTTTCAAAGGCAGTAAACCACAGAGGAGATTTCCTATCCTCCAGCCTTCTCCAGAAA